TCTTTTGTTGATCCTGACCTAGAGCGCACTTGCGCAGTATTCTATTCACAGTCTTTCTTTGATCGCTTTGCCCGCGTGCCAACCGTTCCCCGCTATCTTGGCTCTCGTTTACTTCGTCAACAGTAGATCCCTTTGATGATAATTGCAGCATAGGTTCATAATACAATCAGCTTTTTTAGTGACTTTCGCTTTTGTCAAACCCCTTCTACGCCCAATAAACCTAATGTATGACCAGTGCCACTTACACGTTCGCGTTTAGAATGGTTATACATATTCAGAGCTTTTTCAACCTCACTTCATTCGGTTATGCGTGCTTCGATTCCTCACGACGTGCTTGTCTCGATCTTTCACTGGACAGACCGGTCGACATTAAGGGCATTATCACTCGCATCCACTGAATGTCTTACTATTGCCGACCCCTTGCTATACCAACGTGTCGAACTTCGTCGGCCGATATTCGTGGATAGGATCCTTTATAGCATCTGCGCTCGTGGTGGATATCGCGCTCGCTTTGTAACGCACTTGGTCATTATAGCAGACACTTGTTGGCCAGCATTGTCTTCAATCAGTGTGTTACTTGAAAGACTTAGAAATCTCCACTCGTTCGTGTTCTCGCATCCTGCGGTTCAAAACATATCACTCCGTGTTCCGCCTCCCCTACCCACCACATTGCGGAAACTTCAAGTGCCACATCTTGTACTACTGGATCGCCAGTCTGGAGTCGGCACCATCACCCATCTACGGATCGGTGATACGGCATATTGCCCTAATCGAAGCGCGCGGCGGTCATGTTCTCTATTTCAAAACATCGAAGTGCTGTCAAGTGGCTGTACCTTGCGGTCGATCGTCCGCTTCGCCCCGATAATGAAGAATCTTGATTGTTGGGAACTCAATGGGGATGGTTTGGCCCTTGACGGGGTGAATTCCAGCCGACAAGTGATTCTTGCCATCGCATCTACTCGTGTGCGGTGTCTTCGATTTATCCGTCGCAGTTACGCCTGCGAGCGAAGTTTCTTAGTGGACTTATTTCACTCCATCCCCCACCTCGAATGTATCGAATTTATGCACAGATCGACAGGTCATGGCAACAGGTTTTATAGGGAAGCAATGAGCAAGGCAGTGTCGGTGAAATGGTTGTGCGAGGATGGTCAGTGGTGGCAACATGACTGGGAAAAAGATGTTGTAATTGTCCAACGCAGATGACGTGTTTCACATTATTACGCTTGCCTCCTTTCTCCCTGGCGTCCGCATCCGCATGGTATCAACCCAGCCTCGCTTCGCTTCGACCTTGAACAAAAGGTGAGGCATGGCGAAACATAAGCCAACGAAATGGGGACATAGTGTTTATAATACGGTTAATAATACAGTTAATAGTGATAACACAGACGGCAGGAAGACGTTTGACAGTCATCTACTGTTTCAAAGAATACCAGGGGTGACTTCGGGCTTGCTTAGAAAGAGACACTTGCCCAGGATAGAGAGCACGACAGGCGGAAAGCTCGCAGCTGACCAGACTCCCTCCTAGGGCCACTTGTCGGATCTTTAAACTGCAACGTGACATACTCCGGACAGCAAGTTAGCGCTTTAAGCTTGAGAGCTTTAGCACCCAGTGGCCTTCTTTCATTCTCGTCCACCATGCCGCCCTACCGAACTGTCGTTCAACGTCGCTATGCAGTATCGCTGCCGAGTGCACCAGTGCATTCTGTAACTGTATTAACACTCATCCCCTCAGGCTTTATCACGGCACCAAGGTACTCATCATGCACCAGTGCAACTCCCCCATCAAGTGGACAATCCACGACAACAACCAAACCCACCGCGCCCACCACGCCTGTCTCTGATTGCCTCAAAGTGCAGGTCGACGAGGAGGGTTACGAGCCAAAGGCGCAATTGACACCCACCCATTCCCTCGATGCCACCGATCCAGTTGGTCCGGTTCCTAGCGACCCAGCTTCGGAGAACAGATCCGTGAGTGTCGCCGCTCTGTTCTGAAACCTGCTTATTCACGAGACTAGGCATATTTTGAGCGTAGACATCATTCGAAGTGTCCTGACGTCGTGACGGTTTGGTTTGCATCATGTGGTGCCCTACCACTCCCTCACCCACCTGATACATTCCACTCTGAGGCATCGCCCGAAGAATACGACCTCTTTGTCCATACCTTTGGGACGGAGACCGATATGTGGATCTGGGTCGAAGGTTGGAAACCGGTGCAACAAGGTTTCTCTACATTCATTAATGGTAGGCTTCGCTACTTGACCGTGAGCAAAGGGAAACCTAGCTGGGTTAAGAAAGAGACATATGATCGCTCGCTGTCAAAAAGGAAAGGGAAATGTGACGGATAGGTATATTTAGATAGATTCATACTGTTTACATGTTTGCGAGCATTCGTTGTCTGTCGAGATTTGAATTCAAGGCGCCACCGGAAAGCGAGCTAGCCCCTTAGCCCATAGGAGGTATTCCAGGAGCATTTTATGCCGAATTAATTGGAATCTTCGTATGTCAAGTAAGCTCGCCACACCCGACACCTTTGTAAATGTACAAACAGCCGCACGAAACGCTGCACGAGCCCTTGCACGAACCACTGGATGTCTGCCTGTATGAACCAATGTACGAACCACAAACGCTGCACGAGCCCTTGCACGAACCACTGGATGTCTGCATGTACGAACCAATGTACGAACCACTGGCGGTCTGTACGCACACGCGGAGGGTACAACTGTACATCGGAGTACGAACCCTTGCACAAGCCACTGGATATCCGTCTGTACGAACCATTGTACGAACCACCGGATGTGCGTACGCACATGCCAAAGGTTGCACGAACCATTGTATGAACCATTGCACGAACCGCTGGATGTCTGTAGGCACGCCGCGAGGACGACCTATTCTACGTATTGGTGTATGAACCATTGTACACTCGATCGCGTTCAAGGCGCGTTGAACCAAGGAGCACAAGGAGGCACGAGACCGAGAAAGACACGTGGTTCGTCACACTGGTTGATGAGGAAATGGGCGCTTGAAGCCGCCACTCATCCCGACTTCACCTCAACCATTGCCTCGGTCGCAGCGACATCGGGATGGGTTCTGGCAACCCTCGCAGCTAGCTGGACCCTGGAGGTCCTCTGGCGACGCAATAGTTGCGCTGGGCTCAGGTAACCCTCGCAGCCGGCTGGACTCGGGGGTGTCGTTGTCCCTTCTCGCCTTGCCTCGACGCTATTCATCCGACATTGCCTCCCCAGTAGCGGCGACACCGGAGTAGTCTTTAGTTACCCTATCAGTTAGCCAGACGCCTCGGGCGTTGGAACCGTGGGTTCTAGTAACCCTTGCCACATGCTCTTATCGTCTCGACGCCGTTCATATCGAAATGACCTCCACTACGTTGCACATATGTGTCGTTTCGCCACGGAGACTTTGAAGCCTCGACGAACGAGCCCTCGCTGACACCTGGTCTCTGTTACTCGTCGGGTGCCCGCTCTCCTAGGATCTCGTTCGGCAAAACCCACCGGACCTCACTTCGACAGAGAATCCAGTCATTTTTATTCTTTGCGTAGCTGCGCGGGCGTGTTCGGCAGTCCATACCGAACTTTACTGCTAGAGTCGCATTCGTCTGCCTCATGTTTGCTCACGTGGCCCGAATTGCTCATGTATAAAGCGCGTCCCTCTTTGTCCTTTGTTTCTGTTCCCTCAACTTCTCGAATGGCTTCCTTCGTTAGAAACTCGATTTGGTGAGTTTCTTCCTCTTCTCCCATGCCCCGGGCTGTTCTAAACGTAACTAGGGCCAGAGTGTGCCCTGGCGATCTTGTATACGACATAGAATTTGAGTCTTTGTTGCTCACTCATATCGCATTTTCGGGGAAACTGCTTTCCGCAAGCTCGTCCGTCACCATTCATTTCGTAGCAGATTCTGGCGAGAAACGTATTTGGGATGTTGGCACCCTCTTAGCTCACGAGGTATTTCGTCATGCTCCTCGGCCTAATCTACGTGCTGACGATCCACAGAGAGAGCACATCGAAGTGTACTTCCCTTTCTTTAGCAATAAGGTATATTCCGTTCATGTTCAAGGACCTTCGTAAGTGTTCCCTCACTGCCATACACGACGTGTCTTTGATCTTTCAAAACAGTGACATTTGTCTCGCTGGTGTAAACCTCAGTAAGTGTGCGGTCCTATTGACGTTCTGACTGCATTTCCTGACAACTGTCGATTCCCCAGATGTTGGGACCAGCGAGTCGACCAGATACTGTGTAAGGTGTGGGGGCGACCCCCCTCCAGCACCCCTTCGAGCATTGTGACCAAGGAGGTCTCAACGGTCCCACAAGAGGCGACTGCGGCGCGGAAAAGAGTTGGGAAGAAGAGAGCTATCACCGTCGCGGCACGCGTTCCATCCTTGAGAAAGCTCAAAGCTGGGAAGGCGGGATGGCCACTCGACTTCCCTTTGTTTTACTAGTGTAGCGGCTTAAGCGTTTTGTTCCGTACTTTCCCCCCGCTTGAATAACGACATGTCCATTTATATTGCTCGGCGACGCGCCGCGACGTGCGTCACTTTATCACCGGGCTGTGTTTACCTCTCGAATCGGCGGGACTTCGGCCTCGCATAACTTCATCGGTCCTTTACCAAGTGGCTCGTCTGCGCCAGCTTGCAATGCTGTGACACCCTCCGCCACGAACACGAGGCGTCCTTTGTCCCCACCTGCTTTATAAGACCTTGGGCACTTGAATCCCACTTCTACCTACCCCCGCTTCGAGATGGTGCGACTCACCATCGTTTCAAAATGTGCCAGCCGTCACCATCAATTCCCTCGTTTTCAAAGACGGCTTTCTGTCGCCCGCAATGTTCATCCGACCAATCGAGCTTTTGTCTTACGCCTGTTCTCTCGCATCTTTGAACATCAAGACAATGACATGCTAGTGGCGGGGAGGCTTCTTCTCGCCACGAGCATTCTACGCCGACCGCTTTCTTCCCGCCCTTCGGAGGTCACTTATTGTAGGCTGTTCGCGATGCGGTTGACGAAACATATACCCGCCCTCATTGCCATGACCAAGCAGCTCATCAGCTCATGCTACGCCAGCCATCTTTCACCAATTCATACCTTCTCCCCTAATCAACCCAGCCATGCTCTAGTCTCATCCTCGCAACGTCGGTTCCAGACTGCGATGGACTTCATCAACACCTTTCTATCCCAAGGATGCGTTGATCCTACTAGTGGAAAGGCCGACATCACCCTTTGCATCACCAGTCGAGCGCGGACCGTCCGCTCGTTCCTACCCCTCGCGGTCGATGTATGGGAATGTCATACCTTCAACAATCACCTCCACGAAGTCCAAATTGTCGGCCTGATCGACGCGATCCTTAGCTATACTTCCTCCGACTCGCAGCGGGTACCCCAGCGTCTATCCAACTGCGCCTGGATAGCGCTGAAGAATCTTCTTCCTTCTTCTTCGAATGTAGACTACACTACAAGCAGTTTCGTTTTCAAGTTGGTCGAGCTGATTCGACGTGCCTTTGTCTCGACTCCCCTCCCACAGTCTTCTAGCTTTTCACGCTACAAGAACATGCGGCTTATGATGCATACGATGGTGTTCTGTTACTCTGCGCAACTAGATCGTGGCTACTCCAATTCTGGGTTCCGAAGTTGCCTCGATATCCTCATGTTATGCACGCGTGGTCGAAGGCAAGGGATGAAGAATCTTCTTTCGCTCATTGATGAAGGCATAGGAGCCAATCAGGATGATACGCTCTCCCCGCTGGATATACTTCTGTTTGAAGTTGTGACGCAGTGCACGCGTCTTCCTTTTTTACGTGTTGCCTTAGAAGTCGTCTCCTCATCGGACTATCGTAGCGCTCGTGTCGTTGACATTGCGAGGCAATGTGTACTGCACACCTTCATCGCAAAGGAGCTAGTGAACCCCAGATGCAATACTGTGAGTGAACCCTATCTCTGGACTTACGATCCCGCTGACTTAATGAAAGTGCAGGGCATTGTCACGTCGCAACAACAAGTCGTTATGGCTTTGCGGAGCATGTTCGTCAGTATATTACTGCTCGCACGAGTGTCAACGTCGCGATTGGGAACAACACCATCGACATTGCCAAGTTACTCGAGATGTATACATGCTGACGACCCCCGACCTCTCCCCCCACGTTTTACCCAGAGATGATCGCGAACATATCATGCGTTTCGCCGCATTCCTCCTCCGCTTACACCACGATGAGTTGATGGCTGATTGGGCTGGATTCACGGCGCACTCGTCCTTGCGTGTCGACATCGATTTCCGCGGGTGCCCCGCACGCGCACGGGGCTGCTTTCAAGCGTCTTCCTATTTCCCAGACCGTATCGTTGTCCATGTTATCGTCCCAACGATATGCAAGAAGCTTGAACTCACATTTGCTGTTGATCTCCCCAGCAATGTCACCGCGCGCAGGCTTTCAGCTCTCATTCGCGACTTCGAAAGCACTCGCCTTCAACTATTGTCATGACCAGCGATCAAATTACTGCTTGAACTACCGATTGCACGTACAAGCGACTATGTAAAGATTTGTACGGACCTTTGTTAGGTTTAGTCGTGTGGCCGCTCAGTCCCCTTATATTGATGCTAATAAATATCTTTCGACTGGCTTTCGCTAATGCCGTCGTTGCGTATTATCTAGTCAAGGGCCCGCTTTACAATACTACAAGCGCTGGTAGATAAGCGGACCACATTGAAGAGACGAGACGAAAGGTATGCTTGATGACAACATAAAGTTCAATGTGGTACTCAAATCTGGTAATCACGTGAAGGCTATGTGTGGTGCTAAAGTTCCGTAACTATGTAGGGCTACTCAGTCATGATCCTAAAGCCGATGCGAGGTTTTTTTCTTCTTTGAGGGTGGAGGGGGCATATTCTCATCTTGAAGCGAAGTGCTAGCTTGTTTGTGGGACTTTCGAGGATGGCTGATGAGATGAGATGGATGAGGGGTGTTGATTAGAGGCAGAAGCTGGCGGGACACGGAGGCACTTGAAAATGCGGAATGGCTCTCGGACCCCTCCTCGTCGAGTTCGTCAAACCCCTCGTCATCGATTTCATCGGACCCTCCGTTATTGGGTTCATCGGACACCCCATCATCCGTAGAGTCGTCACTGACAATGAATGTTCCAGAAGTCTTGGCCTTTGGGCGAGCCGCAAGGATTTTCTGCAACAAGGCCCTCATCTCTTCGGAATTTCCGTGTAGGTGAGACACTCCCTTGGATCCACCACTCCGTCTCATCAACAACGCATCCATTTGTGTGTCAGACTCAGCGGGGGCTTCGTATGTGCCAAGCAATTCTTCATTCATTTCGATGCGTCTCGGGGGGCCGTTGCGGTTCTGCCACATCCGAGTCTCTGTGATGAAGAGTTGCTTAGCATTTGGATGAAGAGAGTCAGGGTGGGGAGGCGCGCAAACAAAGACGGGTTTGCGACCGCTGCGCATGACTGAATGCAATTGTCAGAATTCAATTGCATAAAGTTGGTAGATATGACAAAGCTTACGATCGGCGGCTGCGGGTTCAAGCTTATGAAAGGAGACTCCAAGGGATGTATCACTTGGAAGGCAACGTATCCAAGATGTGCATAAATTCGTAGGCAGACCATGCAGTCCGCGATACCCAGTTTTTAGCGTTTCCTGACCGGGAAATGGGACCTCGTCAGGAATATTCAGCATTTGATAGCCTTGCTGAAATAGCGTATAGCGCATGGTGTGCCAAGGAAACTGTGAAGCAGGGAAAACGAGTCCCGCCAAGGTTGCTCGCTCGGCCAAGCGTGTGCGGATTGTATCTCGTTTAACGGCGACTGTGGCTCGAATGGCTCGATTGAGTTCCTGTTTGTTGCTCCAACAGCAGCCGCTTGACAGGTTGCTGCGGGAGGATGTTGAATCCACTGTCTCCGCTTCATATTCATGTGACGCAGCGTATGTGCTGGCCCACTCTGAATAGAGTTCTTGTGGAGTTGATCCGGAGGATGACTGAAGGCTTGCTAAGACTTGGTTGAGGACAGAGATTGCAGTGTTTGGGGACTCCAAGAGTGATGTTTGCGAGGTCAAAAGGTCGGATATGGTGGAATTCAGCAACTTTGGCTCATGTTGGACTTCATGGGAGGGAGTCACGGATGCTTGGTTCACGTATTCGCTGACAGGTGTTTGGGGAGATCTGGGTTGAGACCCGCTATCATTTGCGGCAAGAAATGTTCGGGGTGTTGGACTGGTGGAATGAAGTCTGCGACTAATGGCATCAGGGCTACGGGGAAGGTCATTATGGGCAACTGGAGAATCCTTGGCCGTCTGCCGCATAGGGGTAGTATTTGTGGACGCGAACGGATAGCCATCGTCGCCAACATAGTCGTGCGTTAGCGTGACAGCTTCGCCATCACTTCGAAGACTGCCATGGGAAGTGGGTGCTGAGAAGTAGTTAGCATTGACATAGACAATGTGAGGCAGAACTGACGAGGATTAGGTGCTGATTTTGTCTTGTCATGAACATTGGAGGGGGCTGCCTTGGACGTAGAGTGATGATGCATACGAGCCAAAGCTTCTTGTCTATGTTGGCGAATGGAAAGAGCGGGTCTATGTCTATTGGATTTCGTCTTCTTGGCTTTGCGTCGGGCACTCGCAGCCTCTCTCAATCGCAGAAGTAGTCTCTGATGAGCTTCGCCCTTGCTAGACTGCTGTTTCGAAGCATTTTCAAGTACGGTGTGGTTTGAGCGACGCGTTCGCGGCCGTTGCTTAGTTTTGGTCTTCTGAGGCGATTGCTGTTGTTGCGAGTCTGGTTCGCTTTCAAGTTCATCATACTCGTCGCAGGAGCTAGTGGTGGGAGTTGTTGGAGTCGGAGACATCGTTGTGATGCTAGGGTGTATATTGGTGAGACGGATTGGACCTGTGGACAGGAGTCAGGGGAGGAGTCAGGCTTGAGCCAACTGGGAGCTTGGGCTAAACCCGTCAGGATTCATTCGGAGATTGAATGAGTAGTCCGATGCGCTTGTCACATTGCACTTCCACCTGGTGAGTCCCGTGATGGGCGCTTGTGTCAATGACTGCGTGCTCCTTTTCAAGTTGATCGATCTCATCATTGCGTTCTACCTGGCGAACTTTACGAAAACACCATTCGTGCTGGGTTCTGGTAGCCCTCGCAGCCAGCTGGACTCTGGTAGTCTATTGGCGTTCAAATAGGTGCGCTGGGTTCTGGTGACCCTCGCGTTCTGGTGTCCGCGCTGGATCCATCTGGTCAACGCTCTCGCTGTGGTCCCCCGGCACACCTTTGCGCACCCGCGGTCATGCTGGTCAAGACGGTTGTTCAGAGGACTTAGTATTTTGGGTCCAAGGGGGCCATTGTTTTGAGCCCTCCGATCAATCGTGCGTGTGCCCTCGACCACCTGGCACAAGAGGTCTTTATACAGCTGCTTTGTTCGCTGAATGTGTATTTAATCAGGCAAGGAACCGGTAGCATATCACCCTTCCTCCACCAACTCACAGCGCCACCGATACACTTTCTCCATGCCTAATACCAAGAAACTTTGGTACACGTCGTTTTGGACCTGGTCTGTCGATGCAACTGATGTGAAACATTCCTACCTAGGATTCGCTATAGCGAAGCCAATTCAACGACCCCCGTCGTCCTTGAAGAAGACGGGTACATCACTTCCCTACAATATTCTGATCAACCTTCGGGGAAAGAGATTTCCGTCCTCTCTCTACAGTTCAATGATGACGAGGGAGTATTACAAACGTTCGAGCTAGGAAGGCTGGCTCCAGGAAGGGTCAGCCCCCTTTGTTTCATTTGTTCTTGCATCCAACTCACCGTCTCTTAGACCGAGCAAATCCGATTCAAACATATAATCCGCGCTGAAGGCTCCTACAGTGTCATTAACGACGGACCCAAGTACGCCACTGCCGTCTATATCCTGCCGCGGCCTTGCTGACCTGATGACCTGATTCCTCTAGTCCAGTATCAGTTTCTGGGTTTCATTATGGTGCGTCTCCCTGGTATTGTTTCCCTGATCCTGTCCTGTCATGTTGTCACTTTAGACACTGATGTGGACACCGTCCTTGCCACTGCCACCACTGCTGGTGACTCCGCCCCAGAGAAGACAAATATCACCACCATGCCTGCCGGTGTGTCTACTCCTTCGCACGAGTGAACGTGCTCTGTTCTATACTCACGCATGATTTTGTAGCTGATGGCGGCAATGGCGTCGGTGACCATGTACAAAGGAAGCCTGCACCTGTCAGGCCTGCTGCGGCTGCTGGAGCCCGCGCAAACCCTCCGCGACAGGCCCGGAGAACTAGCATCATAATCAACGATGAGGAAGACGGGAGGGGGCGCAAGGCGCCGACCAGGAAGGTAGCGAACGACTCTGATAAGGCAACGAGGAAGCGAAAGGCTGCGGACACTACTAGCGAGACGAATAGCATATCCTCAGCCGTAGCCAAGCCATCTCAGAAGCAGAAGAAGCGCAAGAACGAAGAAGAACCTCATCCTTTGAGGAGTCAGGGCGCAAAACGGAGGCAGACTAAGGCGGCTGGCGCTCCTGACCTGGAACGCGTCGACACGGCAACGAGCCTCCAGTCCGATGGCTCTGTTTTGCTAGCGGATTCATCGACCCCTCGCCCCGAGAGCATCGCAAATACCGGGGGTCTCAATGTACCCGAATCGGAGGATAGAGTGAAAGGAACCGGGGCCCCCATCACGATCGGGTCGAAAGTAGACGTTTATTATGTTTTGAAGGTCTGGCAAGGGGGTTCATTCAGGAAATTCGCCTCCCTCACTTTCGAGAAGCCCCCAGTGAGTCCCCGCCCACACTTGCTTATCCTGATATTGATTCCGGACTGCCAGCTGCGTATCACGATCGGTGACCATTTTGCTTTGTACGGTTAGTATCTCGTCATTCATTCTACCAACCTTTGCTCAGCGATAATAGGGCTAAGTGGCCATTTGGATGGGATGGCCAAAGGAGGAGAGCGCCTGATTTTCGTTCCTCCAACCCACGTGCCCAATGCCGCCTTTTTGTCTGGGATTGCAAAGGATACAACACTGCGTATTAGTGAGTTTGATACCATGGATGATACTATCTGCGACTGACTCGCTTTATAGAAGTTAAGCTATGGAATGTGCGCGAACTGGCTGTCAGCCCAGCTCCTGGCAACTTGAGGGTCGCAAAATCCGACCTGTCTCTCAATGTGGTGTCCCCGAAGGAGATTGCTACCAGCGCCACGCAGCCTGCGAACCTCCAGCCGCCTCTTGATGGGACGCCCAAGAAGAATATCCCTATCACCGACTCGCAGCCCGTAAACATCGAGCCGTCTCTTCCTCAGACGGCCCGGAAGGAACCCGCTAACGGTGGGGCAGAGGCCGGGGTGTCTCTTATTGAGGCCACCGAGTCCGATCCCTCTCTTTAGGCTGTTTCCAAGTCACCTTATATTGTTTCCCTTTTCTACCTTGTATCATCCACGACATGTACTGCTTTTGC